TCTCGGCAGCCACAAGGGTGGGGGGGACGGACTCCGGCTGTGCGAGATTTGGGGGTGTTCCACACCCCCACACCCCCCCTCCACCTTCGGTTATCGCTGAGTAACTTTGGCAGTGAGGAGCGGGCCCCTGGGGCTGAGGGCAGCGGGGCTTGGGGAGGAGCAGCCGCTCTCCTGACGGCTTCCCGCCCCCTAGTCACCTTGTGGAAGTATTTTCAGGCCGAAAAGTTAAGCACATGCCGTCAAAACGTGCTTTTTCTCATTTTAGGGCATATGTTTTCCAGGGAAAATATGCTTTATTGGTATGGCTGGTGTAATGCACTTCAGCTTCTAGTGTTGATCAGTTGGGGTGAGGTATTTTGGGGATTGGGGGCTTTCAAAACAGCCCTCCCCACCCCCGAAAAATACTTATTCCTTGTATTTTTTGTAAGGACTCCCACCCTGTGTAGTGTCAGTTTATAAAACCCTAAAGTCAAACTCGAGAGCACGAAAACCGTGGGACAAGCATTTTATTCAGACCTTGCCATTTTGATATTTTCTATTGATCACATGGAGGGCAGTGTCAAAATTAGAAGAAACTCAGATAGTTGAAGTATAATGTTTACATTGGCTGGGAGGAAATGTTTATTGCCTGGTGTGTTTACAAAATAATCTAGAAATATGCCAGGAGGAGAGGAAGAAAAACAAAACCACACCAGTGGGTCGTATTTTAAGTTTGTTTTTTTTTTCTTTCATCATCCCTCTGACTGTGTGTTTCAATTCAAGAAGGCAGAAAACCGGTTTGAAGGACAGGATTCATCCTTTTTGTTTGTGGCAGAAATCAAGTGTGTGTTTCTAAGGAAAAATTGTTAAAACACAAATAAACTGCTCCTGTCAAACTCTTTTTCAAATGAAGTGAGTTTTGTTGCAAGCTTTTCTCTTTCAAAACTGTCTTACAAAGCACGTTTCTGTACTTAAGGTGAAGCAACAAATTTCTACCAGACATTTTAAGTTTCTGTTTTCAGTAGAGAAGATATAGTTAAATCTTCTCAGGTATTGCTTGTGTGTGATCAGCTGTAACTGACTTTTCCTTCGCAAGTCCCTAATGCTGTATGCTGTTACCTTCAAAAAATTAATGGTTTTGTGCTGGGGGCAGATGGGAAAAGGTTTCTGGTAGGCTCCTGTGAGTGTTCCTGTTACTCCCACTTGTTTCTTCCAACTCTGCTGCTGTCTGTGTGAATTCATAGCCTGGCCTGTGAACTTGAACCCTCGGTAGGGAGGGTCGAGTGGAGGGGCTGGAGGCTAAGCTGGAAACCCAAAGCTGCGGGCACGCTTTCCTTGTCGTAGTCAGCTGTGGGCATGATGGTAATGGTGATGTTAACAAATGCAAACCAGAGCTTACGACTGCTGGTGAGATTTTTTTCTATCCAGGGAGCATGCTTGTGGATGTTAGCTGGCCAGAACTCAGTGTCTCTTTGCCTAGTGAGAACGGATAGTGTTTACTGGTCTTCTGCTCCAGTAACTCTTTTCCAGCATTGTACTGATGATCCTGGCCTGCGGTATTTTCAGTGAGGAGGGCAGAAAAAACTTCTGTGTTCATTGTTGGCATTGCTCTTCAGCTTTCAGTACTTTCTCTGCTAGAGAGAAAAACTACAGATGCCCAACTTCCTTCCTTTCTACCCACATTGTACTTTTGAAATCAAATCTTTTGTCAGGTCTGTCTTTGCATTTCTCAGGTAGTCCTGAACCCCTGTGAAGCTGCCTATGCTTGCTGGTTCTACTCTTCCTGTGAAGCTCTGAGTGCAACCCTTCTCAGCCTTTTATATTCTGAAGACCTTTTTACAAAGAAAAAGCACTGATTGCTAAATATTGAGTTCAAACCCACTGACAATACATTTGCTTTTCTTAATTACTTTTGTGGTAATTAAGGGTTGGTCCGTGCTCTCCCAGGAGTCTCTCTGCTTGAGGACAGCTGAAATGGAATACGAGCAGGGCTACAGTTGATTTCAGTCTTAGATGCAGGACTGCTCTGCCTGCAGACTTTGAAAGGCACTTCATAAAGCTACAGGCAGAAAACCACTTGCAGCTGAGGCTGTTAGAAGTGTCTTTTCAGAGGTTTATGTATGATTAAGACTCAGTTTAAGTTCTCGCTGCTGACTTGCAAGAGCAAAGTTGTATAAAACCTTCCTAGAGGGAGGAACTTGTGTTTTGAAGGCACAGAACTGGCTAACTGGCTCTGTAACCTCTTTAGCAAAAGGCATTCATAGTTCCTCTGCCTGTCAGTCCCTTAAACCTGGCACACTCTCTTAGGTTTGCCTTTCTGTAGTACTTCTAACGGGCACAATAAATACTTGGTGTTTTGTATGCCTGAAGATCAAATAATGGAGTTAAGTGCATATCTGTTGTGCATAACAGCGATCCTAATCATGTTAGCTTTACTTTTGGAGTTGTAAATATCCAATTAAGATACCAAGCCTGTGACAATGTTTTTTGTCAACTGAAGAAATTGGTAGTACTGTCAAAAATATCAAAACCCCCTTATTTTGATAAGGCAATCTGTGCTCAAAACCTGCCTCTGGTTATTAGACTCTGCTGGCCTGCATAATTAGGAAACTTTATTTTGGAAAAAAACAAAACAAAACCCAGTGAAAGTGATTTTCTTTTAAGGTTTGATCTGAGAAGCAGTTTTCATATTCGGCTTGTTCACTCCTCCTTCAACTCAAGATGAAAATATTCTTTTCATGTCCATCTAGTCCTTTGTGCCCAAGGCAAATAATATGGCTCTAGCCTTCCTCTACAGCCCTAAAAAATCTTGAATCATCAAAGAGCATTTATTACTGATTAATGTGTCAAGAAAAACTACTAGTATGATAATAACAGTGCAGTGCCACTGGTAAAACAGACCCAGAGATCTGATTAGGGTATGGGCGTCATGATATGCTCTACAGCTTAGTCTGGGTTTTTCCTCCCCCCCCTCTTTTTGGAAGGGGAAGAGCTCTGCGTGGTGCTGAGCTAATACTGAGCATCGATGAGGTGGAGTGGGAGAAGAGGATGTGGCTGCAAAAATCAGGCACAGGGTCTTGTTGAAGCACTGGGGTTGTTTGCAGTGTTGCATCTTTAGGATGTTTTTTTCTCATCTTAGAACTTAGTCCACTTACAGCAAGATCTGAAGAAAAGTGAAGTTGGCAGTAGCTGTCATAATTGTACAATTTTTGAGGCTTCACCTTTTTACTAAATATCTGAAAAAAAAGACGTGACTTTCTCAGGATAAAACAATCATCCATATGGGTTTTAGGGAGGTAACCAAGTGTGTCATATTAAAGCTCAAATAAAAATCTCTAAAGCTTAACCTGTGATGCTCACTTTAAATCCAGGTTCTGTTTGGCAGAACTTTAAATCGAGCAGATGCAGTTTGTGCTGGTCCTGGTCTGCTATTTTGAAGTGTATTTAGCTGGTGGATGGCAGTGGGCCTTCCTAGCACTTGGGATTATGTTCAACCAAAGTTTGTCAGATTTACATAATTGTATTATTTACGCTTGAGTACCTAACGGATATCCTAGTATTTTCTACAGCTACTGATTTTTTTTATTTTTCCAACTGAAATGGGATTAAATGCCACTGAATGTGGTTAAAGTGAATGACTGGTTTTCTCATGCTTAAAATGACATTGTTTGTAGAAAAACAAAACAAGCAAACAAAAATATCTGTCTTATCACTCCAGCCATCTAGAAAGCAACATAACATTTGTTTTAGCTTTCATTTCTTTTGTACCATAGTAGCACTTTGTTAATGTTGTGCCCTGCCTTTACTTGGTGGCATTGGTAAATTTGTTTCAGTTCAAATGGTTCAGTTTTGATCTTAACTTTTTTTTTTAAAAAAGTCTGGTTTAACAAATGCAGAATCTGAAGAAGAATAATAGACTTCAATACCAAACATACTCTATAAAACAATTCCCTACTTGATAAACTTGCTGTTAGTTCTCTGATCCTTGAATTAAAGTGGGAGGAAGAAGAGGCACAGTAGTGATGTGGGGAGGAAGTCTGGACAGTTGAGTGAGTGGTGAAGAGGCATTTCGTTTTGCTGGACTGGGATATCCAGAAATAGGCATGTGCAGTTGTTCAGATGCTCTGTGGTTTACTTCTAGTACTTGTAACTCATTGAATCACCTGTGCTTGGTTCTCAAATGGCATTTAATTGCAGCAAGGACATTGAATTGGTTACTACTTGGCCAGTATGCAAGAATATCTGAAAACGCAAACCTTTTTTTATTTCTCTTTCCCTTAAACAGAGCGTTTGTTGAAGATGACCTTGGAAGAAAGACGCAAAGAGTACTTAAGGGATTATGTTGCACTGAAAAATATTCCAACGTGGATGGAAGACTTAAAAAGTAAGAGCGAAAGTGATGGTAAGTAAAACAGGGGAATCCCTTTTAAATATAGGACATTCTGTTTCCTCAGTCTGAAGTTACTTCTAGGAGGGCCAAGACTTAGAACCCATGTTGTTACTACCAGTGGCAGTCTAACGTGGCAACGAGGGCACTTTGCGGGCAGGGGGGAAAATCCCCAGCAATGTTTCTTAAAGCCTCACTGCTGTCCACTAATTCTGCAAGCACCCCAGACCGAGTCATAAAAACACTGATACCCTTAAGTGTGTAAAATAGCTATTCTCAGTGTGAGTCAGTGTTACCTTCCATATGCTCCAGCAGTCATCCAAGCCTAATGAACTTTGTCTTTGAAACTGAGCGAGCATAACGATACAGGGAATCTGGACAAAGTAGTGTTGTTCTGGTACGTGGCTGAAAAGCAGAGGAGAAGCCTGCAAGTTGTGTTGTTTTTCTGAAAATCCAGAAATGGCGGAAGTTTGGGTTTGAAGCCTCTCTTACTTAAGGTCCTGCCTGCTTTCTTGGGCTGAGGAACAGCAGCCTGGCCTGGATTAACTCCCCTTCTTGTGGCAGGTACACAGGTACAGCGTTACTGCAGTTACGATCACCAGTAGAGTTGTCTAAATACTTGCAATGAAGGCTTGGTCAAAAATGAGAATCCAATACACTTAGAAAATTATGTACGGAATACAGAATTGTTGAAGTTCTTCATCTAGTTCTTTCATCCGCACAGGGGTGTGGAAGAGGAGGGATGCCTTCTGAGCTGTTTTGCTCCTCCTTTTTTATTTCCATGTCTTGTTATCCTATTTGGCTGCAGTTTGTGTTTTTTTGGAGGGGGATCTAATGATGAGAACTAAAGTGTTTCCTGCTCCTGCAGATTCAGGACTAGTATTGAGATCCTTCTGTTATTGTTAAGGGCAAATACTGTGTGAACACCTCTGTAGAGTAATCTTATGGCAAACATGATCTTTATGATAATATTGCAGGTGAGATGAGGCCTGGAACTGATCAGCTGTTTTTAATAAAATGGGAAAGATATAACACTTAATTTAGCACAATCTGGAGGAGCTGACAGATTTGCAGATGCCATTGTCATAAACAACTAATGCTATCATCTACTCCTAAAAGCTTTTGAAGTGAAAATATGTCAGAGGTTGCTGAGCTCTTCATTGCTGATGAGTGGTTATATTAAAACAGTACCCATAGACCTCTTTCTCCCATTAGAGTAGGCCTTTTATATCTTACGACATCAAGAAGCCGGTCCATCTAGAAAACAGAGCCTGCATAAAAATAAATAAGATGACCTGACTTCTCTAAAGTTCATTTTGGGAGCTTGTGGTACGTGGGGATAAGCAATATATCATATGGTTTAACTGGGAGACTCCTCCTCCATTCTAGCCTAAACTCTGTTTTCATTCTAACTACTCTCACATTCTGTATAATGTTCTAAAATTCGCAGATCTTGTATTACTTGGGCTGCTGAATGTGACAAGGTGTGGATTTACGTTGTGATTGCTGTTACCCTTCACATAAGCAAAATGTCAGTGTCTAATATGCGGGTATTGAATCATGGCAGTGGTGAATTTATTTTCTTGTAGCTGCTCTTGCATTCTTTCTGTTAGTACCCGGTACACTTCAAAAAATGCTGGAAGGCAAATGTTGTGCTGTAACACTCCTCTGCTACTTGAAGCTTTTGTTATACTGTGCATCCAGGAGAAAATATCCATAGTTGCTTGTTTTCTTTGATGTATTTGTTGTAAATAAGCTGTGTGGAACAGTGATCTTTAGAAGGTTAGACTGCTGAAAAGTTTGTGTTTCAACTGGTCAGTACAATTAAAAGAAATATGTAGATTAATGTGACTTACTGTATCTGTTTTCAATGTTACTCACATTAAATGTTGACTCCACTCTGAAGGTATCAAGAGTGTGTAAGAACTGTCTTTCTGAGTTAAAATCTGAAAAATTAGAATTTAAGTTGTCTTGCTGATGAGAACTTAAGCTCCCTGTACTGGGACACACAGAGGGCAACTGGTACAGCCTAAATGAGACTCTGGAGAGAGCAAGTGAAGTCTCAGGTGTGATGAAATTGGGCATAGCACTGTCAAGTCATCACCAAGTTCTGATATTTTTCAAGTGAAAGGCTAATTCTGGCAGTGATGAGCTGAAGAGGTCTGAAGGGGTAGGGGGAGGGAAAATCCTCTGTGGGTTTGACAAGCCAAAACAGCCACTGATGGGGAATGTGAAAAAAGTTCTTTACCATTTACTTCCAACACTGTATACAGTGAAAAAATGACAGATAGATTAGTAAAGTGTGGAGTGGCTGTTCAGGAAGAGTGATGAGGAGAAATCAAGAAAGGAACCAAGAACAAATAAAGTGAAGCAGGTGCAATCAATCAGCTGCTGGAGTAGGAGAAGTAGAGAGCATCTGGGCTGGCAGTAGTCCCTGTGGATACTCAACCAGAGATTAAGGATGTTCAGTACTGAACAAATGTTTGTACTGACTGGTAGGAAAATTTGCGTGAACAATACAAAAGCTTTATGGTACCCATTTTTAAATGTGAATCACTTGCCGGAGGGTGTTAGGTGGTTCCGGTTAGGCACATGTTTTTGTTATGTGGAAGTTTAACAGAGGATTATTGAAAAGTCTGTATGTGGAACTACTGAAACTGAAATGACCTAAAAGGTTCACGTTGGGAAGGAACCAACTTGACTGCCATGATAGCTCTGCATGCTCTTCACTGATGAGTTTGGAGAAGGTACTTTAGTATGTGGAGAAAACTGTTTCTTCCCTACCTCTTCTCTACCCTTTGGCATGAAGTTGTGTTCAGAACTAAAGTCTAAAGACAACCAGTACAGCTTGGAATAAGTTGATGAGAAGGTGAATTCTGGCAAAGCTGGAAGTCTTTATAACAGAGGGATGTACAACAATGTAAAGGCTTCTGAGGAGTGAAGTTAGGGAATTCTGAATAGCAGCTGACAAGGGATTTACCTTTTTTTAATACCAGCAAAGGTGTTTGAAAATTGAAAACAGCTGTGTGTAGTTTTTGTCTTTGTTTTGCTCTTCTGTGACTAAACCAAAAACCTACAGTGTTTGCAGGTCTCCTCATATGGAGATGACTATCCATAAGAAGTTAAGGTTGTGTGTTTGGCAGGGAATGTGGTCAGTGTTTCTGATAATATTTTTTTTTTGGGGGGGTGGAGGGGAAGTGGCTGCGCAGTGTGGAATGCAAGGCCTAAGCCTGGTGCCCACTGCTCTGCACTGAGGGAAGCAGGCTGTTGTGGGTACGTGCATTTCCAGAAGGGTGACCTTGTCAATGCCCCTGGGTTTTGGCGTGCAACTTGTCAGGCTGCACAAATGCACCTCAGAGATCAAGTATCGTAATTTTGCCCCTCTTCCTTCCACTGCTATTATTGACAAGTGGCCCTCTTTAATGTCAGAGGGGATGGCAGGAAGGGAAAAAGTCTTGAAGTATATTTGTAAATGGAAGCTTTATTTGTTTTAACCACATTTATTAAGGAAATGAGGAGCTGTCCACTTTGGAAATGAAGAATAAACCTGTCATACAGGGCTGGACAGTACATATATACTGTAATCCATCGTTCCTCCCACTTCTCATCCTTCAGATACACCAAAGACATGCACATTACATCTGTTCTGTTACGTACTGTGAAGTAGAGTTCCTTCCTGACAACATGTGAAAAATGGACTTGTTTTCTGAAGCTCTAGAATTTGTATACCTTTATTTCAGTGTTATTTATTATATACCACTTTAAGTAGACACTCATCCTGTACAGCAATTGTAACTTATGTTTTGTGATGCTTGGTGAATAGAATGCCACTGTGTAGACAAATAGTGGTTTTTTTTGAAGCTGAATACATACCTTAGTTTTTTTCTTGGGTACACAGTTATTCACAAAAATGTCTTTGCTCTTCAGTGGGGAATGTGAGAGATGACTTCGGAAAACTTTTTCTTGAAGGCTTTTTGAAAAATTATGGTCTCGGGAGTTCTGTTGTCACTGAGTTTTTTGTGCCACTGGTAGAAAAACATTTTGTTGCATTAATGGGATAATCCAGAAAGTGGAATAAATTAAATAGTTTAACTCAAGGCAGGTGGCAGTCCTGCTGACTCTCACAGCCTCTGGGATTCATTGGTATAGCAGCAGTGCCAAGAAAACAGCAAATTCAGGTGATGGCTTAAAGATCTTTGCTAATAGTAAGAACTACTTTTGATTGGATTAAGTTAAAAAGGAAGGACACAGTAACTCTGAGTTATTTTTGTTGAAGATCAAATGACATTGAAGATCTGTATCCTTTTTTTAAGCAAGTCTTGAAGTATGTTTAGATGTTTTGGCATCCTCTGGATTTTCTTAATCTGCTATATTTTTAGCAAATGATATGGTTCAAACTGTATTCAAATTAATCTACTTTAACACTGAGGGGCTTATGTATAATATAAGGTTTGGATTTAGTAAAAGCGTCTTTGTACTGTGAATCTCTAGCTTTCTAAATATTCACAGTGAGTTGATATAAGATTATAGAGACAAAGAATCTAGATGATCCACTTGAAATGCTTCATACTGAAAAGAAGACGTGTGGTAACTGAGCTCTGTTGACCAGCATTTCTTGAGATGGTTAACTAACCACAGGTAGTACTGGGTTCTGCAGAGCATCCCCACGTGGCCCTGGTTAATGTGAATATCTGTCCTGCAGGAACCAGGAATCAAGGTGATGACCATCAAACAGCCTTCAGAAAGTAATGCCATTACTAAGATGCAGGGAAATTCAGCCAAGTGTCTGCAAGTGAGAGATAGCATCTCTAACTCGTTATTTTCAGCGAGTTACACAGCAAAAGAAATCGTGTTCTAGTCTACTAGAACACTAAGATTGTCAAAAGTTGCCCGGCAAATCAGCAAGTTCCATCTGTAATAGCTATGTGAAACCAGTGCACTTCAAGACCATCTCCCCCACCAAAAAGTGAAGTCCATCAGCTTGCATTATCTTTTTTCTTATAGTGACTTTAACAATTGTCTTTAGAACAGATTTCTAGCTGAGCGACAAGGATGAAAGTAAATTGAGACATTTTAGCTCAGTGTGGTGCTTGCTATCTGTCAGTGAAAGAAAACGGTGCTTTTTGCTACTGAAACTCTTTGTTTGGTTAAGTTCACAGTACAGCAGTTTTTCTGCTGAGTTCACATAGAAAACTGCAGTAACTTGCATGACAGAGGCTCTCTTGCTATTAGCTGTGGCCTTGAATGTGAGTTTAGCTTCACTTGAACTTGTGCTATATTGAGTTTTGTCTGTCCTTCTCATATATTGGCATGTCGCTCTGTTACTTATGCTAAACATTTTATCCCAAGGTCTCTTGAAGACTAGTGTGTTTAAGGTAAGAAAACTGTGTCACTTAGATGCGTGTGGAGATCACTGCTTATTAATTGTGTATAAAAGCTGGGGGAGCTCCACTAAAAGACTAACATCTGTGGCTTCTACGAATTCTGTGGAGATCATGGTAACAAATTATTTTGAATATTTGGGAAATTGTGTGCTTTCTGTGGAAGTGGCGACAAATCTGTTTGTTCATTTCTGTTGCCTGTTAATGCTACGCATACACTAAGACAGCAGCAAAGGAATTGGAGTGGGAACACCTGATTAGCCTGTTCTAAAGGTGATGAGGAGTCTGCATGCCCATGGCATAATGCAGAGTGACTTGAAGGCTGAGGGGATTCACATTTGGCTGCAACAGATATCAAAGACTGCCAGAGCGATAGGGAGTAACCGGAGCCCTGTGTGCTCTGCTGCTCCCAGGCTCTTGGCTGCCCTTTTGGATCTGTCCTGAACAGATGCAAAGCTGCACAGTGGTACAAATCTGACCATGTGATGTACTGACCCCACACACCTTTGTCTTCCTAAACACATACCTCAGCTATTCTTTTCCAAAGATAGCTTTGCACAGCACAGAGATGGGGGAAAAACTCCTCAGGTGGAGGTTTATTTGAGTGTAAACAGAGAAATGACCTTTGGGGGGTCGGGGTGTTGGTCTGTTTAGAGGTGAGTGTTCCTGTCTAGTTAGTGATATCCCCGATCTAAGTGCATAAAGCAGTGTGTTTAGTATGGTGGGGGAAAAAACTACAGTAAAGAGAAAGGACCAATATGTATTCAATTGACCTTGTAATTCCCTGGTGAGCTGCATGAATATAACCTTTATAGGATGGATTAGCTGTCAAAGAAATGACGCTTGTGTTAGTTTTTCTTAAACTGTTTTGGGGAAAACCAAAAAATGTTGCTTTCAGCAAGTGAGAGATGATTATTAAAAATCAAAAAAATCAACTCTTTTCATACA